AGTGCGCAAGCCACCCGCCATCCTCATCTTCGTCGTCCGACGCCTCGTCCGCAGACTCAAAGTGCTCCGCAGACTGCATCTCCTGCGCGAGGTAATGCGCAAACTGCATATCGATGAAGATCAGCTCACAGTGAGTAAAATGAGCAGATGACGTACATGCGGTGGCCCCGCGCTCGAAAACTCCTCCTCCTCATCGTCATCATCGTCCATCGTCCCAAAGTCCGCGCTGCTCTCCCGGATCTTTGGCTCCCGCCTGAACTCACCTTTCATCTCCTCCGCGCCGCCCGCCTCGGCCGCGTCGCCGCCCACAGCATGCGTCGCGATGCCCGGGCCCGGGCCCGTATCCGCCTCGTCCACCCTCCACTGCGTCGCGGACCCGTTCCGCATGCCCGGCGCGAGCACGGGCTTGCCGCCACCGAGCAGGCTCGTATCTTTCGTCTTCGTCTCCTTGTACCGCCCGGTGACGTACTCGTCCCATGCTGGCTGCGGCGCGTATTGCGCGGCGAGCAGGCGCAGATCGGGCGGGAAGTGCTCGAGCGCGCCGATCACGTCCTCCGAAATGAGCGTAAGGTGGCCCATGTAGCCGAGGCGGACACCCTTCGGTTTCTCGCTGTGGGAAAGGATCAACGACAGGAAATTGGACATGGAGTGTTTAAAACGAACCTTTCCTTGTCGTTTCGTTCTGACCCCTCGATGATCCGGTGCATCAGACGGGCGTCACGGAAGAGGGCTATCGTCAATTCTCGGTTGAACCCTCCGTCTATCCGACCTGTCAGAATCTGGTGGATCAAATCGTACACCACGCTATGCAGGAAGTTGTTCCAAGGAAAGTCGAAGAAAAGGTCCTATATCGTGTCTCAGCCCCTCATTGTCATAGCATATACAGACAAGCGCACCAGGAGAGTGGATAGTACGCTGACTTGGAGGAACCTCTGCTTGAGGCGTTCGCCGGGCACAGGCCGGCCAAGGGAAAGGCTGTCTCGTGTACTCGTCCTTCGAAAGCTCCGGCGAGAGCTGACCGATCGCGGTCTCTTCGATGAGTCGGAATCCGAGTTCGAGTTCGAGTTCGAGTTCCATGAGCTATGCCTTTGTTGTCCCGGCGACAGAGTATCGGACGGAGACTGAATGGGCGACATGCTCGGTGAGAGCAACACAGGTGGAGACTTCGGTGACATGCGAATGGGTGAGGCCGTCAACGCAGGAGACAGCACGGGGGAGGAGTGTTCTCCAGAAGCCGTTAACACGGGATTCCTCGTCAGGATTGAGCGCGGTTCCTCGTACATCGCAATCTCTTCCATTGCGTCGTCGTCTGAGCTGCCTGGCTCTTCCTCGCCACTCATGTCGTCATCGGAATCTAGTAACGACGGGTTACTTGTATGATGGACCGGGAAGTCGTGCGCCTGCTCAACGTCATCCGCCTCATCGTCGTCCATGTCGTCCTCGTCGGGTTCGCCTCCAGCTCCGATGGCAATGACCTGTGCGAGCTCCTCCAGAGCAGCCAGGCCGCCCTGCAGACGGCCCTCAGCGTCATAGAGGTGGTCGTACTCCTTCGGCCGGTTCAAAAGCGACATGTTCGAACAATGCAGGAGCTCCGCATACAGCTCGCATATCCTATACCGCTCGAAGGTTAGGGGCGTCAGCTCGCCCACAGTTGTGAGAACGTGGCCATTCTGGAAGATATCAGTATGAATGAGCACATTGATGCATGCGTTTATTCCTCACCAACGACCGCGGATTACGAAGAAATGTCTGCAACTTCTCCAGATTGTCGCACATGATCTCGAGCAAGGGGCCGAGATGTACGACACCCATTCGGTTCACCATCTCCTTCATAGCAGACTCCAGCGCCTCGCGCCCGCCATCCTTGTTCATTTGCATATGCTGCTGAACTTGGATAAGGCGATTCCGGAGAGTGTGGAACAGGTATGGCTCAAAGTAATCGGAATTGTTTTGTCGAATGAGCTCGATGAGGATACAGATGGATTGCACAACTGACGATGTTGCACATTCCGGATCAGGTCGCACCGTACTAGTAGCGTTCCGTGTTGCGGCTTCGACCTTGGACTGGCAAACCTGTGTGGAATTCTCATTGGACGGTTCCATGGGACCAAAATCGCAGAGGATATAGCTGGCAAGTTTGACTATGCTGTCCCGGTGGGCGAGCTCTCGCGCAAAGCGGTTAGATGGTGGGACATTGTTCAATCCGTCGCCCAGACCCGCCCCTGGAGACGGGGCAGACATGGAGATGATGCCTTTAATGAGTTCCGCAACGACGGTATGCATGTCAGGACTATGGGCGGGCGAAAGGAGATCGATGAGCTGCGACATGAGGTTCTCCTTCGACAGCCACTGCGTGCCTTTGGGTAAGAGGAGTTCGCGGTAGAGCATACTGCAAACAATGAAGAACATACTTCGAGGACGCCAGCACCGGCAGGCAGCTCGTCGAGCTGAATGATGCGGACCAGTAGGTCCGCGAACGCTGGTGTCTCGATGTGGCGGAGCAGTCGTTCGACTACATCTGGTTGGGATTGGATGAATGCAAGCATCTGAGCGCAGGGCTCGAGATTCACTTCCGCACGGGTGAGATGGAGAGAAAAGCCTTCACCTCCGCTGGTTTTTTGCTCAAGAAAGCAGCATTGATTTTTGCGAAATGGGACGCCATGACCATCTGAATCTTCATGTCCTCCGGAGGCCTATCCAGAACCGTCTCCCAAAACGGGGTCAGCAGTTGCTCGGAGTGGTTGAGACATGTTTCCACAATAGTCCAAATGTCGCTGCAGAGAACTTCAGTAGCAACATATGGGTACCTTCACATAACGATACCGTTCAGCATGTCGTGAATGTAGCAGGGAAGAATCAGCATCATAGCTCACTTGAATCTGCCCTTATCCTCGCCTTCAATCTGACCAGTGACATAGCCGAAAAGTCGCTGCAGGATGTCGACGCGTTGAAAGTAGTTGACGAGCCGCGCGTTCTGGGCTTTACATTCCTGCAGCAGGTCGTCCTCATCCAAAATAGCTTCTAATGATACATCCTCTTTGTCTAGCAGGTTGTCGATGGTGGATGCATTGTGGAAACCGAATCTGCCGGCAGAACATGTAAAGAGAGTTATTGCGTAGAAACTACCGCGGTAAATACCTCCAAAACATGCGTATTGATGGCAGGTGCGTTCAAGAGGTAGGGGACCCTCCGAGAGCTGGAGAGGGCTTCGAATGCTGAGCAAGCAGGGAGTCAGAGGGGAGGATGGTTGAGCGAGGTGGTCGATGCAGGCTGAGGCGTTTCCGGCTGGAAGCGTGCCTATTCTGCAGGTGACGCGTTCCGTGCCATTCCCGTCCCCTGTCGTCTCTGCCACGACGACGCCGTCATCCAACGCGGGCAGCTCCAGCGCTCTCAACGCAACATAGTTAAACTACATTCCAATTACGCCGAGTCTCTACAATAGAAATCCTCAACCGCACAGGCACTGGAAGCGCGATCATCAATAGACCTCATGTTATGAGATCTAGATCCATATCATGGGTCGTGCGGAAGAACGACAGCCCAAATGACTCTTCGACAACAATCTCAGAACGTCTGAGAGATGATTCCGCAGCCAAGACACCAGTCTCTATTCCAAACCGCCGCAACTTGCCCAGAAGCCACACCCTTTTCTGGGACTTCAAACGTGATGTGCATCGTGCTTTCATCCTTCTCCCTACACACAAGTGATATCGATGAGCCCGGACAGAAACGTCCACTGGCGTACGTGCGCACCTTCGTACAATGCACGGGACATCCAACATACAGTGCCTGATTTGAATGCGGCCATGGAAGCCATGTTCTGTGTCTATCCCTGGAGGTGGATCATTTTGCCAGATCCATCGCCAATCCTTAGCCACAATTCCTTTGCAGTAGAGTGCTGGATGGTCTCTGTTGTGCGATCCGTGTAAGGACGATCCTGGCAGCAGATTGGAAGCACCTACGGGCCAGGGACGATGTAAACTGCGTTTTGATGAATATCCTTCTTCGCCACGAACATCTTCTGGTGCATGCCCTTTAAGCGCGCGCCTTGACCAATAGTGTATGACCACAGCCCTTGATGAGTTCCAACAGTCTTTCCCGATATAAGTTCAATCATTGGGCCTGGCTTTGGCGGGATATATTGTGCTGAAAGTGACTGAGCAAGACATATAATACTATATTTGCATATCACTTACAGACGAAGTTTTCGAATCTTCTCTTCTCTCCAATAAAGCAAATACCCATGCTCTCCTCCCTTTCGGCAGTAGGCAAGCCCCATTTCTTTGCCAGTGCGCGCACCTCCATTTTGGTATATGGCGCTAGTGGGAATATGGCACGAGCGAGGCTGGGCTCAGGAATAGCGGACAGGTAGTATGTTTGATCCTTCGTCCTATCTTTCGCTCGCAATAGCTGGGGACGGGCTGTTGCCATCTTACCGGAGATCATATAAGATAGAAGGCGAGGTGTAGGCGACCAGGATTTATCGGCATAGTGGCCTGTGGCAATCCAACTGTTCCGGCTGGCCATACGATCCAGCAAGGCGCCGAATTTGACTTCCCTACAGGGGCATTGACATGCAATTTATATGATCGGTGCAGTACGAAACAACTTACTTATTGCACCAAACGTCCGGGTTTGGGGTTTCACCGTTCTCCCACATTTGCAGTGCAGGCTCGAAGACATCGTTCCAGTATTGACGGGAAAGGTCGATCTGTTCCCTTCAGTCACGATCAACAGGGGAGTACTTCGAGACGAAGGACGCGTACCATCTCGCATCGGATGTCCAAGATCTTGCAAACTTTCTGCACATATGTCCAATCCTTCTTCCATTCGCAACCACCATCAGTGCCCGACTCGTCACGAGTATCCCAGTTGCGCATATACACGGCAGAAAGGTCGTAATCCTGAATGCACCAGTCTCAGGATGTCCCTTCGCAACTCATATTAATCGTATATATTTCACCTTTTCAGAGAGCAGTTTAGCCACGACGGAAGAATCGACGCCGCCAGACATGGCCACAACCACTGCCCCGTGCAAGAATATCATTCAGAGAACAGCCAACGGCTCTGCAACTCATCACACCCACCTTTATCACCTTTCTGCGGATGCAACTTGGCAATATGTGTTTTGTACAGAGCAAGCGAACGCCGGAGTGCGACCGGCCATACCGGCATGTGCTAGGATCACAAGGTCGTTGTGGCGGAAGTTCGTAGGACGAGTTTGGCGTAGAAGGCGTTGCCAAACAACTTATTTCCTATCTGAGTAGTACAACGCCCGCAGGCGCTCGGATCCTCACCGTACCATCTTCATGTTCTAGAGTCGTCTCACTTGATACCCTCTTTTGTCTTCATGTCGAATTCACGCATGCCATCCTCGAGCAAGGACGTCTCTAGGACTCAATCAGAGACAATCTTGGAACCGCCACAGTCCAAAGGGAAACATCGCTCCGGGCCTAGGCGCAAATCGAAAGCAAGTCCGTCTAATGAGCGTGAGGAGACTCGATCATCTGCCGGCGGACCGAGGCAAGCTTCGCAGAAGAAGGGGAAAATGACGTCCGAGAAGCCCAAGGACATCTTCAAAGAGGCTGACTTTATCGCGTTTGACTTTTCTGATGAGGAAGAATCTGTAGAAGAATCAAAGGCCGCTGTGAGAAAGTGGGATAAAGGCAAGGAGAAGGCAAGAGAGGTTGAGGATATCCACCCTGGTAGAAAGAGGAAGGCGGAGGAGTTCGACCGCAATGACCCATATGCGAATAGGAAGCAGCGCTTTGCAGCCCCATCGCGCCGAGCGCCATGGGCAACCGATGTTGACTGGGATAGCTGCACGAATGTAGCTGATATGTGCGTACAAAGTGTGAAACCTTGTTTCTCGCATGATAACATTGGTCATGCAGGCTTCATCGCGATGTGGAGGCCTACGTGAAGTACATATCACCGACACCAGAAGAGGACGAAATCCGATCATTGGTGGTGACTCTAATAGCCCGCTCTGTCACTCAAGCATTCCCAGATGCACAAATAGTTCCATTTGGAAGCTACGAGACGAAGATGTATCTGCCACAAGGGTAAGTCCCGCGATTATTCGCATGCATGTGTTGGCATCTCACATCCATGAAGGGATATTGATCTGGTGATTCATTCACAGTCCATGGCTTATAGCAACAAGGAGACTGTGTTGCACGCCCTGGCAAATACCATGAAACGCTCTGAGATTACTGAAAGAGTCAACATCATTGCGAGAGCCAAGGTGCCGATCATCAAATTCGTTACGCATTATGGACGATTCTCGGTGGACATAAGCATAAATCAGGGCAACGGTGTTTCCGCAGGAAAGATGATCAAACAATTTCTTGCGGAGATGCCGGCGCTGCGAAGCCTTGTGCTCGTCATCAAGTCATTTTTAGCCCAGCGTAGTATGAACGAGGTCTTCAGCGGGGGCTTGGGGAGCTACAGCATTGTGTGCATGGCGATTAGCTTTCTACAGATGCATCCCAAAATCCGTCGAGGCGAGATAGATCCGTTGAAGAATCTGGGCGTCCTCGTGATGGAATTTTTCGAACTTTATGGGTACTATTTCAACTATCAAGAAGTCGGGATCTCCATTCGTGACGGTGGCTCGTACTACAACAAGACAGAGAGGGGGTGGTTTGATAGAACCAGGCCGAAGTTGCTCTCAGTAGAAGATCCCGGAGACCCGTGTGAGTATCATTTTCTCAGATCCCTATCGTTACACCTTACCGTCAAACTTGTAGCAAATGATGTCTCCAGAGGATCATATAGCATGTTCAGAGTCCGGACGACTCTCGCTGGAGCTCATAGTATCATGACTGCTGCTGCCTACATGAGGGCGGGAGTAATAAGCGCTAAGCGTTCCGGTCGATTCGTTCAATTACGTGACACTGTCAATCCCGAGGAGTTCAGCATCCTTGCGAGTGTTATGGGTGTTACACAGGAGGTAAGTGCCAAGTTGCTGAGCTGTGAGTCGATTCCGATTACACTTTGCAGACAATAAACCATCGTCGGCTTGTCCAGGAACTCTACGATAGCAGAGCATTACATCGCCTACTCGGTGTCAATGCTTCTGCCGATATAGCTGGAATAAAGGCGCGTCCTACGCCGAATAGTGAGGTGCAGCGGCCACGCCAGGAAGACATCGACACAGCATTGGGAGAAGCGGATATGGAAGAGGGATCCACTGATAACGAGGACGGGAAGATCATTACCGAGGAGGGAAGCCGATATAAGATCGAAGACCGACGACAGCCGCCTCGAAAACGGCGGAAAATGGGGAGGGAAGAGGACATGCATACTGTGTTCACGACCGACGACGAGGATGGAGAGATCCGGCATGAGTACGAAGAGTATGCACTTGAAGGGCTCGAAGACGGTGAAGAGGAAGAGGATGCTGCCGCCCTCGCGGACACAAAGTATAGTATGGAGAGCAGTGCGAAGAGCAAGAACCGGAGAGATTTCTGGTTATCGAAAGGTTCCCAAGGAGTAGCTAGTGATAGTAGCGATGACTGAGTGTCATGGCTTGGCCAATGTCTTGCACTTCGCAGTGTGTGAGGATTAAGGAACATTGTTGTGACGATGGCAACGAAATTGTGCGAGCCGGCAGTAGGCGGAGGAATAGCGCGCGAGGTTAGCTCAGCCATCACAGCAACCACCACCTCCTCCATTCTTGCCTACGTTCTCCCATCCCAACAGAACGGCAGATTTCTGCAGTCGCTGGTCGCCCGCGGGTCCCGTCCTTCTCACTCTCGTTCATTTTACATGTACGTGCCGTAACTCACCTCTACTCCCGCTACGTGCCAACCTTGTTTGTCACCGCCAGGGCTGCTAGTTCGAAGGCGCCGATTCCGCAGGTGAACCTAAAGGACCGCATCGCTGCTCTTCAGCAGCGGAATGCAGGATCCAACCAGACCGATAACAAACATGCTGTCTCCACCGGTCGTGTGGGCAGCCTGCGGGACAAGATTGCTACGTTCGAAAAGCAGGGCGCTGTCCCGGTTCCGAGAGGCAGCTTTGGACTAGGAGCACCTCCGGCGGATGATGGCTCCTCCCGCCGTCGTGGAGAGTTGGTTGGCAACCGTGTGCCAGGGCTGTCGAAGCCCGTTGTACCTGTCTCGGTGCATCCGTCACAAGACGTCGACACGGACAGCCCAAGTGGCAGAAGGCGCTCTGCCTCCGCTTCTGCGGCCAATATCTTGTCCTCAAGCGCCTCGAGTCCTCCCGCTGTATCCTCTACGGATGATGATTCATCATCCTCGGACGCCCCCGCTACGACTGATGAAACACAAACTCCTGGTTCTCCACCGGCAGCAAGGACCAAACGCCGTAGTCTCTCAGAGCTACCGCCTAACGTCTGCATGCCAGAAGCAGGGCAGGAGGCGTCTTATGAATACAAGGAGGCTCAGGCTGCGCCTGTAATTGTGGTATCTCCTGACGCCGAGGCCGCTGCAGCGAAATCGGTGACCGTTGCTAAGACCAAACCCTCCGCGAAGGTGGTTGTCTCTAATGTCACATTGCATCGTGAGGAGGCCTCAAGTGAGTATCATGCGTTCCATGGCGGAAGGATGACACTCGTAACTAATTTGAATGTAGTAACGTCAGGTCCTCGTGCGCGATCGACTCTTCGTGCATTGGAGAAATCGCCTGGGAGTAGTGCACCGGAGCCGTGCGTAAGCATGTCACCTCCGCGAAGACAGCCGAAAAGTCAGTATGTCAGCGTTGAGGACCCGAACGCTCTTGACGAGGAGTTGGCTTTTGTTCGCGCAGCCTTGAACGCATTGGAAGCGGCTTCTGAGGATACAACTCCGACCCGTGCCGATGTGCAGGACTCGAGTGCAGACGGTGATTATATATCCATAACTAACCGTACGTCAGCGACATCTAGTGTTCTGTCCACGCCCAACGATCTTGTCACATTCGCCGGCATGGAGTATGTCAAGTTAGAACATGAGCTCGTTGAGGGTGGCACTCTCTCCCGAGATGCTGACGGCGCTATCATAACTTCTTCTAGTGCGGGCGCCGCGACGGCCTCGCAACGCAGAGGAACGGTGACATCCCTCGCTCTGGACACCAATGAAGCTGTCATCGTCACTGCTCCTGCTCGAGTCGTATCACCCATTTCGACGACCCGTGCTGTTCTGGTACCTGTTCCGCAAAGCCTCTCGCCCATCTCATCGCCTATCCCGTCGTCTGGTCCCAATGCACCTCATCTGACTGCATCTGCCTACACCACTCCATCTCTGACGCCGAAGACCAGCACGGGTTCCTTTAAGGCGATCGTTGATGGCAAAGTTTCTAGCAGCATCTCACAGGGTCAACCCCGTGCTGGAAGCTCTCACATAAGGCAACCACAGTTGAAACTCACAGTTGAGTCTTCATCATCTTCGGGATATGGCGACCTTGCGGATCTACTGGCGGACGCTGCGCTCTTGGAGCAGCAATTATCGGGCATGGGAAACTTACAGGAAGATTTGGACGTCAAAGCGGCTCCTGCTGCTGCTCCTGTACCTGCTATTGACTCTGCGCTAGCAGCCGATTACGTTCCCGTGCCTGTGCCTGCACCTGCTCTGGCTCTTGAGCCCGAGCCTGCTCCCAGTTCCATTCCAGCGTCCATCCGCGATCATGACCCGGAGATGGAACTGACTCTTCCAGATCACCCACCTCCGCCGTATGTCGAGATTGTAGGGCGTGAGCGACCTCGGCCAATCCAGGAGTTACCCGAATGCGTTGAAGAGGCGGAGAGTTCACAACACGAGCCTCCGCAAGAGCTTCCTTCTGATGATCTGCCGCGACATGCGTCTCCAATGGCATCCTCGACGCAGGAATACTCAAGGAATCGCATTCCTTCAGGTTCGCCACCACCTGTGCCCCCCAAAAGCCCACGACCGCGTTACTTCTCCACTCTTCTCTCACGTAAGACGAGCAACAGCGGCACGCTCTCTACGCTAGGCACAGCCCCTCGGCAGAGCAACTGCTCGGAGATGTCGGAGGACGATTCAATGCTCGTTCCAACACCGCCTTCGCCGCGCGTCGAGTACATCGGATCCGACGCGAGTTCCATAAGGAGTTCGACCCGATCGTGGAAGATGCCGAAGAGCACGTTATCGCGGGCCACCTCGTTCGCTGACAAGTTGCTGAACAAGAAGAGTCGCCGTAATTCAATTGTCATTTCTAACCCTAGTGAGTAGCCATTCAGTCATTCAATGCAATTCGCATGCGAAGCGAATAGTTGCTAAGGGCTTGACAGATAATACACATCTGTCTGCGGCGGGAGTGCAGTCTGGCTCTGCCCATGTGAAGAGTCCGTCCTCGCCGGAGGACCGCCCCGTTTCGTGGGTGCCAGTCGAAGGTCGGCTGGACAACGCCCTCTTCGATGCGTTCCCTTCGGTACCCAATTCTGTTCTCCCCTCCTCCCCGCAACCGCCGTCACAGTACCTCTCCCCGTCGGGGCATCCAGGCAGATCGGCGACTATACCTCCGAACTCGAGCCATTCGAAGCAGCGTTCCGCATTCCTGTGAAATCCAGGCTTTTGGTTGTCCATCTTCTTGCCCGTCGGTGCACGTCAGCTCTGAACCTGTTCGCATTTCCATTCACGCTCATCTACTCATTTCGGATTTGGATGTGGATATCATTCGTTAGTTACTCATATACACACTGCTCCTTAATTCCTCGCTTCAGCAATGTAATAAACACATCCAAACCATGCTAGATCCGTCCTAGTGATGTCAAGCTGTCGTTTGGATACGCCGTTGGCTAAAGTCACTCTGGGTCCAGATTGGAGTCGAATGCATCAGATCTAGGACTAGACAGTGTACATCTTGCGATACAGGGGTGTTATATCATTGTAGTGCAAAATCCTTCAGGTGGTACAGTAGTACGCGGCCGCGATTGTTGCCAATGGCTAGGTATTCGCTACCAGTCGAAAAGTCGACACTCGTAACGTGGCCGAGAGGCGTACTCGATGTGGGCCAATTCGAGAACGCCGTCAATGACGGAAGATGGATCTGAAACGAGAGATGTTAAAGTTAAGTCCGGGACATAACGATGCATCATAAACATACCAGACGCATCTGATCCTTTTTGGTGTTGCTCGCCATGGCAAGCAACTGCGAGTCATGGTTGAACCGGAGCGCAGTAATGGAAGTGGTGAGATTGCCGAGAGTCTTCAGTAGCTTGGGCTTGCTGGACCCTAACGATGTAGGCCCCTCGGACCCATAAACGTTGACAAGACCCGTGCGCGAGCTATGAGACAACAAATCAGCAATGCAATTGCAAATGTCGTGGGCAGCCACTCTCACCCTATAGCAAGATATCTCCCAGAGCTATCACTTTCCACGAGACGGCTCCCGAACCCGCCGTCATCCTTCCACCGCCTCACACACCTCCGCTCGCCCACATCCCACACATACACCTCCGCATCCTCCCCGAGTGTGACCAACTCGCTCCGCTCCCCGCTCCCGCCCGTCCAACGCACGCTCTTCACCGGCGCGTTCATCTTCACGCCACCCACCACCTGGCCCTGGCCTGCGCGCCAGTCGACGAGATGGACGTGCCCACGCCGGCCCGCTACCGCGAGGACGCTCCCGGACGGGTCGAACGCGCAGATCTCCATGCTCGCGTCCTGCGCGGCCGGGTTGGCGTTGGAGAAGGTGGTTCCCCAGAGCCCGCGGGGCGAGCGCTGTGCAGTGCCACTTTGGAGGTCGTAGTGGTAGTAGAAGGGGCGCGGGCCGCTGAGGAGGACGGATGTGCCGCCTGGGTGAAAGAGGGCATTCGTGATGGGGAGCTCGGGGATGTGAACGGTTTGTAATAAGGGATTCGTGTGGCCGTCGACCTACATTCAGTGCCCCTCAGCCAGAGTCGAAGAGGAATTAATTAAAGCTGCGACCCACGTTAAATAGCCGTAATCTGCGGTCAGAGCCTGCCGTCAAGAGCACAGGAACCTGTGGGGACGGGTGGAACTGGACCGCTTTGACCTCGCCCTCAGACCGAGCAGAAAGGTTCGCGTCGCGCAGCCGCTCAATGGACAAGGTGCCATGCGGCAGTGCTTTAGGTCTTCGCCCTCGCTGCAAAATGCCTCTCGCGTCGGACAGCAGTTCAGGAAGGATATCCTCATCAGAGCCCTCCAAATCCGAGGCCGAAGCGGACGACGACCTCCTGCGCTTCGTTTGTTCCGGATGCAGCTTCTTACGTGCTTTCGCAGCCCATTCGGGGGTGGGATTGATCTTTTGGAATTGCCGACGCAAACGGCGTTCATACTCCTTCCCCCGTAGCATGTCTTCCACAGCTGCATCACGTAGTTTCCGGAGACGCTTGTCGTTAGCTAACGATACCTGAAGATCAGGATCGTCCGGGTCTATCCATGCAGGACCTTTCTTCTTCGAGGACCTCAACAGGAACGAGGGAGTCTCTGTCGCAACCACTACATCATCCTCGTCTGCCGAGTCTTCTTCCTCCTCTTCCTCCTCGTCATAGCTCGAGCCTTGACGTACTTCATCCGCATCCGACCCATTCTCAGAACTCTCGCCTGCAGCAAAGTCTACATCCATAGCGATATCCAACAGCTCTGCACGCGGACCAGTATCATCAATGAAGAAGAGCTAATTGAGATTAACGTTAACATGAACATTGCAAGAGCATCAGGAGACCACGTACATCGGTATCTAACATGTGCTGCAGCTCATTGTCCCCGGCATCTTCAGCCTCGCGCTCGTTATCCGACACTACCAGTATTTTGTCTCCAGACTTGTCGGGAGGATTGTACGGAGTGCCAAAGAGCAAGCTCTCTAGCCTCCTCTCCTCATCGTCTTTGCTAGTCTCGTCAGTGAGCGCAGCAACGGACCCCAGTGGCTGAACGGTCTCTGTAGTATTTGCGGTCTTCTGCTTTTTGCGTGCATGTTTAGCCATTGAGAAGAAGACTGTGATACGAAGCGACAGTGCAGGACTCTAAAGAGGGTATAATGGCGTTTCAACAAATCTGCTACGGCGTGCAGCGCGTCGAAGCGAGATTGATCGCAAAGTCAAAAGCAATTCTCGATGCGCCGTCACGTGTGGCTGCCTATCCCCGACTGTCGACACGCCCGACCTATTCGACTCCATGCATCGCGTTCGGATTCCAGCATCCTCCTCCGAGGAAATAATCAAATAGTCATACACGGCGGACACAAAAATTATTACATGAAACGGGGAAAAAAAACCAGGAGCATAACATATTAACGCATAGAAATTCCATGGGAAGAGAGTAGGTTCATGCTCTGGAAGACGTGGCTCGTCTGATTGGCACCTCAGACAACTCGCGCTCGCTTGACGACCGCAGCTGCTGGCGAAGTCCTTCCGACTTGTGGGAAAGAGACCGCTCTCGAGCCTCCTCGTCCACCACTTTTCGCGCTTGAGCAAAGAACAGCCGTGCATCTCGATCTGAGACATTCTGGATGAAGTACATGTTCCCTGACGTGATGATGAGGATACACAGAAAATGGCTCACGCAATCAGCTGCTGGTCTACTTACCTCGGGGTACCAGAAACATGCCTCCGGTGGCGATGAGGTAGCTGGTGCGGTGCACCTTGAAGTTGACTGCGCCCTCAATGACGTAGAATACCTGCGTCCGGGATTCAGTACCTCGACTAAATTTATATCGACATTTAGGTGGCCTACAAATGTGTTGTCCTTAGTGCCCTTTGTGGGCTTCTGTTTGTCGGGAGGAATGATGAGCAGACCGGCCGCAATAAAGTCACCTTCTCCAAATATTTTCTGGAAGTAGAAGTCGTTATTCGCCGCTGCCTTTGGTGCAATCATTTTGGCCGTAAATGCCACCTCTGTGGCGGCTTTCTTAGCCCTTCCGGCAACATGCATGAATCCCAATGATACTCACTCTTCTCGACCTCGGTTTCCGTCTCGTAGTCGATGACGACGCCCTCAGCCTTGGTCGAGTCGTCCCAGCCCTCCTCCGGGTTGAACACCAAATTCTCCGACACTTCAACCTCGACCGTCTTGCTCTTGCTTCGGGCGCTGCGTTTCTTCACGCGATGTTTCGTTCCTAGCGGTTTCGGCTGCTCCTTGGGCAATCGACGGATCGCCTTGATTGTCGCTACAAACTTAGGCTCCCCAGAGTCGTCTGAGCCATAAATGACCTTCTCGCCTCTCCACCACTCCAGAGGTGTAATTCGTAGGCGTGATGACCGGCGCACGCCATTGGCGTTGGCATTGTGATCTTCGTATGTGACTGAGAACGAATGCTAAACGTCAAAATGTGGAAGACAGCGTGCATGAAGTGGGACCAACGTTCGCGTAACACGTTGTCTTTCTTCCGTGGCCTACCGCGCGGCTTCTTCGCACCCTCGTTCTCCGTCTCCTTGCGCGCTTTCTTGTTAGCAGGTTGATGTTTCTCAATGCTATCGTCGTCGCCCCTCTCTTCTCCATCCCTCTTCTTCGGTTGTTCCTCCTCTACGTCCTCTTCATCCGGTCCCTGCTCAACCTCCTCCAAGCCATGCGCAATATCATCCTCCATGTCCATATCCTCATGTGATACATGCCCATTGGCAAGTTGCTCATCTTGGGTTCTGATAGTGGGAGAGTCGACGTCCATTGGCATGTGCTCGTCGTCCTCGTACTGCTGCTTTTCATCCTCTTCCTCCTGATCCATCTGCGCAAAACTTGTCCGAGGAGTGGGCCCGCCATTAGTCTTCATGGGTTCCTGAGGCTCGTCGGGATACGGTGCAACGGGGAGGTCATTGTCATCATCCGAGTCGAACCCAGCCGCATCAAAGTCCGGACCTCCCCCATAGTCCATATCGCCGTCGTCCATAGGAGCGTCCTCATCAATGGGACCAAGAGCAGTCTGCGAAAGATGCGACGGGCCAGGGGAGCGTGCGTGGATAGCTGTCCTACGTGCAGAGAATATGGGAGAGTCCCGAGGAGAAGGGACCTTGTCGAAATCGACGTCGGATGTGTGTGCGACAGGACGGGAGTACGAGCCGACGCGCACGACACTCGATGTAATGGCGTTCACTCGCGCGTGAGCAAAGTATGCAGAGGGACTGTTCGGGATGCCTTGAAACGAAGCGCAAATAAGGAGAGATTAGAAGGGGACGTCGGCTCACACTCACTTTCCTCCAGTTCCATAGACATCTCGCCATCCTCGTCCTCCTCTTCCTGCATGACCGGCGTCTTTGGCTTCGGAGTGCGCTTCTTCCTCACATTCTGCACTCGTGGCGGCGTGCGCTGATCAGCCTGCCCAATGACCTTGTCGAACGGCTCAAACTCGTCGGATTTGTGGTCAACATACGCGACCGCTATGCCGGTCTTCTTGCCATGCTCGAAATCGTCCGCACGGTAAGGAATATACTTCTGGATGCCTCTTCGTGTACCGATACTGCTCTTACGAGTGGACCCGGGCATAGATGGTAGTCAGTGGCTGCTGCGTGATGGCGAACGTTGGGCAAGAGACGCCTGGCCACAACGCGCGCGCTGCGTGACCAGACGTGACTGTCACGTGGGCCCGTATCGTATTCCGTGCCACCACCGGCAGCGTCGCTGACCGCCATCGACCGCCACCAGCACCTCGTCTGGCATGATCTCGGTTCGTCCTCATCTTTGTTCGCTATTTAGTGCTCACCGCTGAACTTGTTCCCTTAGGCATTCTTTATCTTCAATCAGAAGGGCGAAGTGAGTGTGTCTACCTAGCCTGCTAGTATCCATGGCACCGATCCTCTTCAGGTCCTCATCTCGCGCCTCTATCGGCCAGACCTTAAGTAACGTGGTGTATCCCTCGCCACTGATCTTGCCCGACTCTTACGCGTATTATGCCTGTGTAGGCGCTCGATTGCAGACGTCTTCCGGATACAAGTGGTCTCGAATAGCGATGTCCGGTCACCAATCGTCACGCTCGGGTCGACCAGCTTCTTCCACGTTCGCGTGAACAACTTGTACATCGTCGCAGTCACGAAGTAAGTAGCTTCAGTCAGTACCGCAGCTCCTCAACCAATATTCGTACAGATGTAACGCCAACGCAGCGCTGGTGTTCGAGTTCTGCTACCGCTTCAACACTATCGCAAAGTCCTACTTCGGGAAAGTGGACGAAGAGTCCATTAAGAACAACTTTGTGCTCATATACGAGCTGCTTGATGGTATGTTTTGGTCAAGCGCGCATCATCGACCTATGGCTAATTACGAGACAGAAATCAACGACTTCGGTTACCCACAGAACAGTGAGGCCGACACGCTGAAATCATACATTACTACTGAGAGTGTCATGTCGAGCAACTATGCAGCCGTAAGTCTGCTTTGCCGGAGCATACGAGCTCTTCACCAACTGAAAATATGTTGTAGGAAGAGTCGTCCAGGATCACAGTCCAAGCCACTGGTACAACAAGTTGGCGGCGGGGAGATGTCAAGTACAAGAAGAATGAGGCATTTGTGGACGTGGTCGAGACTGTGAATCTCAGCATGAGCGCCAAAGGTGTGTGCCGCAGATCTGCTGAGTGCCGTGCGTACTTATCGTCGGCATTACAGGAACAATTCTTCGCGCGGACGTGGATGGGCATATTTTGATGCGGGCATACTTGTCCGGCACACCTGAGTGCAAATTTGGACTGAATGACAAGCTCGTGATTGACAAGAACGGTTCTGGCGGAGGAGATGCGGTCGAACTGGACGACTGCCGGTTCCATCAATGCGTTCGGCTGAACGAGTTCGATTCTGACCGAACGATCAGCTTCATTCCGCCAGATGGGGAGTTTGAGCTCATGAGGTTAGTGGTTTGTGATCACAGTTCCATGAGCGGCTCGCTGAAGGACCAATAGATATCGCGCCACATCAAATGTCAAACTGCCACTTAAGGTCATACCTTCCGTGACGGAGATTGGCACAACGCAAGTGCAATATGTCGTCACAGTCAAGACCAACTTCAACAGCAAGCTCTCCGCCACTAACGTCATCGTACGGATACCAACGCCGCTGAACACGACTAGCGTCGATTGTAAGGTCGCGAGCGGCAAGGCGAAATACGTTCCCGCAGAGAACGTTGTCGTCTGGAAGTACGCGTGCCTGCCTAATATCACAGATTGTCCGTTGAGCGCTCATCGCTTTTTCCATAGAATTCCACGAATACAGGGCGGCCAGGAAATCAGCCTGTCTGCCTCTGCCGCGTTGACGAGTACAACAAATCGACAAGTATGGGCGCGCCCGCCGATCGACGTCGACTTTCAGGTGCTCATGTTCACCGCATCGGGCCTGATCGTTCGCTTCCTGAAGGTTTTCGAGAAGAGTAGCTATCAGAGCATCAAGTGGGTGCGATATCTGACAAAGGCGAGTGGGACGTACCAGATCAGGGTAAGCCATTGCAGTGTTTGTAACCTCGTGACGCTCATAGTTTTGCAGTTTTGAGGTGCTAGTGTCGTAGACTGCTCCACATTCTCGTACACGTACGCAGGGAATGGGTCTGATTGGTTAGGGAGGGATTTCTGCTGCTTACTCGTATGGACTTGCTTAATTTACTGCCTTTTGACATTCTCACAGGCACCGTGATGCTCACTGAACCCTCTGTGCTGACATAGGCGCTCTAGCTGCTGAATCACGGTCCGTAACCGGAAAGGCTCAAACTCATGAAGCCGGATTTGAGCATATTTATCATGAGTAAGACCACAGAGCTAGGTAATCATTTAGATGCTCCGCTCACGAGGAGCGCCTCATGGGTCGTCAGCGAGCCACTATGAAGGAAAATGAGCGAAGCAGCAGGAAGTTGCCACAACTCGTGATATTTCAATGGACATTTCGAGCACTGAGTACACAACTGACTAGCATAACCTACATATGTCAGAACAACTCTACTCTTCAGCCATGAAGCCACGGAGTCAAGCTTCGGTGAGCACCACGAGAACCGCCGATGCAGACGAAGATAATCACTGAAGCCGACGCTAGCGTGAAAGGTTTTGACGACTCACGGGACTGAGGCGCCTTCGTTGAGCACCGCAGGACGGAGATTAGCGTCGAGAACCCGCACTATCAATGTAGGATCCTGAAGAAGCGTCATGACAAGCTTAAGCTCAAGTTCGAAGTCCGCCGTAATTAAACTCACGGATGTCGGTTATGAAATCGTTACCTCATTCAAGAGGTCTTCTGACCTACTGGCCTGCTGCGAGGACGCATCGAATGGGTCTTCTCAAATTGTGTTCCCATTGAAAACGACGCGTCATCGTCATTCCGACTTGATTATCTGACGATCTACAGCGAACACTTCTCACTGTCCCGCGCCTGCGTTGCAGATGGCCGAACGGAGGTGACCGCATGGATCGGACTACGATACAGCGGCCCTCCGGAAACTGCGAATTCAAGCGTGTTTATGCGAAACCGAGCGACGTCAGCATGGTCATCCGACTCGTTGCCATCCGTAAAGCCGTGTCTGCTGACCCAAGTACGCTTCCGCCCATCGCATCGCCGCTTGCTCGTCTCACCTCATCCCACAGTGCGCATCGATTCCATCCGACAATTCGCCTGGAAACGTTCTTGTCAGGACTCAGGGAACTGTTCGTCAGAGGAACGGACAATTGTCGGGTGCTTCGCGTAATGAGCAAACAATATAAGAGCTCCAATGGACGGCCATATGGGATTTGTTCGCGGATGGTTGGTTACTATGGCCGGACACAAAGTGCTTCGGGCTGCAGCTTGCGCGCTGTCTGCAGCGACGGTGGTATCTGGTCAACTGTACTGGAACTCAACAAAGTTCTTGTTCGCGTTCGGCGATTCCTACACCACAGATGGATTCAATATTTCCATGGGCGTGAACTCCACGGACCCTGGTTACGTGAGTGAATAGTGATATTGCTTCTAACCGACATACGTCCAAAACCAGAAACTGATCTTGGGTTTCTGATACCGCTTCTGATACGAAGACCTCGTCGAACGGCCCTAACTGGGTTGAGTATCTGGGTAAGCGATATGGGACGTCCCGTAAGCGGAGCGCCCTGCTGAGTGGACATTAGGCGGAACATACAATGTCACAGAAACCAAGGTACTTACGTTTGGAAGTCCCGTCTCGCTGTCATTAGGTTCATGGATGTTGCGACAGGTGTTCAACTTAGCATCCGGAGGTGCAACGATTGACGCTGCGCTCGTGGCTCCTTACGAGCCAACGGTTTTGTAAGTTCGCATAATTCACTCACCGTCGCGATTTGCTGATCGAGAAAGACGCCCAGATCTATCGTTGACCAAGTGACACAGTTCCAAGAGTATCTAGCTTCGAAGCCATATGGCGCGCAGTGGGATAGTTCCGACAGCTTGTTCGCTATCTGGATTGGAATCAACGATGTGGTAGGTCATGAGTTGTGTCAGTCGTTGCTCCGAACCTCACTGCCAGTCTACATACAGGGAAACTCTTACGCTTGGGTAACGCCTCCTCAACGTTCGGCTAACACGTCTTGCTCAAGGAGCGGTCATGTTCTTGCAGACTAATGTCACATCGCAGTCTGCGTTCCACACCGTTCTGATGAACCGTCTGTTTAGTCAGGTCAGCATCTTCGCATAGTCGACATGAGCCATCGCTAACGCACATGCTGCGGTGCCTTGCAGGTGGACATTTTGTACAGCGATGGTGCTCGCAACTTCCTGTTCTTGACTGTTCCACCCACGAACCGCGCGCCCCTCTTGATTGAGGCAGGGCCCACTGCCGTTGCGCAGATTATAGCAGCCCTGGCGGACTACAATGATCAGCTAACGGCGTTTGCCGGCCTGTTCCAGGCGACACATAGCGGGGCTAGCGTTACTATCTTCGATACGCGTCCCGTCTTCAACACCTTGCTGGACAATTATGCCACTTTCGGCTACGTGAATATTACGGGTTACTGCGCAGCATATGAGAACGGCACACCAGAAATGACAACGCAGGAGCTCCCATGCGAACCTGTGTCCAGCTACTTGTCAGTCCCCAGACACTTGCAACACACTACTTTCTGACGGCAATTACCTCATTTCACAGCTGGCTGAATACGCTGCATCCGCTGTACACCGTTCACAAGTAAGTCACTGGCTCGTGACTTAGCGGTATTGCACCCGAGCTGACGTTTTCTTCGTCACAGCATAGTAGCGCATGCGATTTCAACGATTCTCAACGCCTAATGGCGGGATCGGGTGGGTCTTGGTGATGTGGGCTGTGCGAGAAACACGGACGGAGCACAAGTGCCTCATGTGTACGCACGACGACGACAGTTCGAATTGAATCCACAGTTCAGTGTCGTGTGGTGCAAACGGCAAGGGCTTACGGCGTTACGAAGGGGGTCTCTGTGACGGTTTTATTCCAAAGGTAGAGCGCACACCTCACCAATTGAGTTGCTATACGATGTGATGGCAGCATGTGCGGTATCGTTCGAAGCTGATTGGCTGAGTGACTTCGGCAGGCCATCCTGGCGAACGGCTGTATCGATACTCGGTGATGCCCACACGCGCCTACATGTAGTCAGTAACACGTTCGCTCCTGAATGATGAGGCTTCTCCCGTTCATGTGACGTACAACAGACACCTGAGCAGGCTGAGCGCGGGAGGGATTTCCGCCGTCTCCTATGGGCAATGGTGCGAGCAAGCCTAGGTTTCGTCTGAACGCATGAAGAACATTAAGACAGCGATACGGGCTCACTCTGTACCGCCAACCACGCAAATCTTTCCGGAATGTTGCATGTAAGTTGAGAGCGGAGATCCGCGCTCATATATGAGGCGCCATCTCGGATTGCAGAACATGACAGACTGCACGTTTCATCATCTCCGATAAAACGGAGAGAGCGCAATCACTCCATGCGTCACCGATAGGCCGCATACCGCTTGCATCATGCGATGACTACCTTCACAAACATGGCGTTTTATTTCATCACCAACGGTGATCGTACACAACGAGCGTCTTGCTGAGATGTCCGCAATGGCATCAGATCCGGAAAAATGTAACAGCCTTGCTGAAAAACGACAGGACAGTCCACGTGGTGGTAAAACACAGGACACGCGGGCAGCATCCAACGATGTTCGGCGAGACAGCCCTTCAATGCATGTCACTTCGTGGCTTCGCCTCCTAGTTGCAGCGTGTTGATTGACTCTCCTCGAGATCGACCGCAAGGTCCGCGGAGGAACTTTCCGCACGCGTAAATATCGATGGAAGCAACGTACCTTCTGTCCACTATAGGAAGCTGGTACAATGATCGCCGAGACGAGCAATGTGCACGCTGCGTGGGCGCGGCACGGATGGTGAGCCTCTACCAAGCCGCGAAGCATTGCAGCGCTCAACCTATGCTGGCCGTCAGCTGACGCGGAGCAGGAGCGGAAGACACACTGATATGGGCTGCAAATTTGGCACAGTCTAAAAGGCCCGCGCCTGATTGCACATGGAGATGAGCTACTTTGCGCGTCCCTCTGACGCACGGTGAGTGTGTTCATCCTGGGCGTTCGCCTTGTCCTAAGTGATAGAAATATTTTGACAGAGCACTCAGATATAGGGCGTTCGCTTCAATCCGAACAAACTCGTGGTTCCATTTGAATGGAGACATCCGAGGGGGCGGCCTATGTTAGGTGGTAAAACATGTTTCGCACAAGCACGGCGAGAAGCCCATGACGCAGCCGGATGGGTTCAGCACAGGAGTTGTGGTGGACATTTACATGCTGACCCGCAGCACAGCACGTACCTTTCAGACACACGAGGACTGCGTCCAGCGAATCCTCTAGCAAAATTTCCTCTACAGGAATCTGGAAGAACCGAGACGAACTTCTGGATGATCAAAATTATTCAGATATTTGATTAAGGATGCTCACATGCCTTCGGATCCCGGGAGGCCGGTTAGCGCAGTTGAGCTGCAGTGTTCTGCCGTGGGGCATAACGTCAGTAAGAGAATTTGAACCTAAAAGAAAGGTCAAGCGACGTCAGCAGCCCGGCTTGATGCAACTTTTGCAGCCGAGATTCATTCCTGGAGAAGAGAACTGAGTATATGCGTCTGAAAAATGACAGAAGACTGGTTCCAACGAATACCTCATGCGCCAGCTGTTCTAATTTTACTGAAGCCGTCGGGCATGGCCTGAGACAGTACCCTACAGTACCCCCCTCTAATACCGATCTCCTCCCGAAGCTGGAGCGAATAAAGGAAGCAGCATACTTTGCGATGTGGCCAAGAAGATGGAGGCTGTGAAGCATCCGATAAGACTACACGGAGTAGAGCGGCCGCAGACTGTTCAGATACGCCGTCACAAATGGGGCAACGGTCGATCTTGTAGTTATTTGCTGAATGATGGCTGATATGAGTAAGGTCTCCATAAAGAACACAATTAGGGCACCTAGCAGTAAGCCAGGGCCGATCCAAATTTTCGACGATCATTCGGGTTCAGCATCTAGCTGACAGCGGCGGTTCAGGAGCAGAAAAGCAGACAACAACGTTCTACCGATTTTTGGCAATCAGCTGGGCACCAATATACATGTTTTGGTAACTGATAAAGTAATTCCGTGCTGCGTCGTGAGGAGGGATGTCAGTGACAGACTGACGCATGAGGCTGATCGATGCACAGTTAGGTTTAGATGGAGCTCACCGACTAGACTCTGATAGACAATGAGTACCTCCAGATAATCGATCAAACCTACAAAATTCCTCTCAATGTGGATAATCGCACGGAAGAGACCGCTTTGCAGCATCGATGCACTAGCTTGCCGAACGCTTTCTCGGAGATACGGTTGAACGCAACAGAGGGCGAAGCGGCAGATCCCTTTGACCGGTCAAGTAGGGAAGGGAACTCGGAATATCATGACAACCGCATCTGCCGGGAGCAGAAGGGCTTGTGAAACGGACGAACTGTGTGGCACATCACATGGGATACTTGATTCGGGTATAACTGCAATGGCCGTGGCGTCCACGTCGCACCTGTGGGATAGCAAGCTCGACAGCCACCTGGGACCCGAGCCGCTGATACGATGGCCTCTGAATAGCATCTGTTCGGATCATGAGAGGACTCTGTCAAGGCTGGTGAGCTTGCGAATGATAGAGAGCGAATTTCCGTCTTGGAAGCACTACTCGCAAGCGAACACTGGGGAAGCTTGGAGGCCACCCAGATGAGCGAAGCAGCTGCGGCGGTCTGCAGCAGCTGCAATGAAGAGGGCCCTGGGGTGGCTTATTCGTGCCGAGAGTGGGGTACAGCAGCGCTGAAATTGCAAGGTGCCAAAAAGGCAGTGCAGAATTGCCATATCCGAGAGCAGGCCGGCAGCGTCTGAGAGATGTGGTGTGTTTCCCATGCGCTGCGAGACGGAGATACGCGTGAGCAGATGATGTACGACGCTAGGATCGTTTGGGAATGGACGATTCCCTCCTATCAGGCATGAAGATGTACCTGTGAGAGATGGGAGGTGCAATTCGGCTTAGAGGCCGAGCGGTGTTTGGCCACGGGTGCAGCATTAACGCAGGTCGTCCGAAGAAGCAGAACACTGGCAACCGCACCAGGGGAAGTTGATCTCAAACACGGAGATTGCACGGATTACGAACGCAGAATACTAATGCTCATCGGTGGCTGCCGAACAATTGACTCAAAAGTTTAATGCTCCGCGCCCGACTCCGAGCATGTCTCCGACGAACAAGCAGGGCGGTGCTCGCCAGGAGTGTATGGTATGTCAGCTCTAACTCCTTGCGGTCTGTCCGGTGCCTCCCCGCATCACGGGGCGGGGTTGTCAAGGAAAATGTAGCGAACCGTTCCACCCAACTCCGGATCACTGGCGCATAATACACACCTGGCTATCAGTCACTTACGGAATTTGCGGGCCATTCCAGTGAGTCGATAACCATCTTATCGTCATCCGTCAAGCTGTGACATTCAAACCTCCTTTTAGATCGTCTCCAGCCCGAGTTGGAGCCAAACTTGAGCACGAGACCCGGACATGCTGGGCTGTCCGTTACCATAAATCTTTCCGGCTCGCAGGCTCGGATCCATGGCTCGACACTTTATGTCCCTCGGAGTGTTACTAGACAACCACCATTGCTTACACCCTCGACGCTCATGAATCCTACAAGTCATCCGTCGCATAACTCCTCCTCACATCCTCCTAAAGGGACCCATCCCGGCGCGATGCACCACCGCGAACAATCTCCTATCGCCGCACTTGCGGGCTCCTCGCAGCATCCATCTTTGCCTTCAATTCGTCAACTGCACCCAGACCTTCCGCTCTCCATGTCTACGGACCCTTCCTACGGGCGTAGACAATCAATCAGCTATTCTTCTCCAGCAGCTATTGCCGTCGGTGCGCATATCCTCTGCGTCACGCGCCTGCGCACCTTATTTTCATGACAGGCTCTCGTCCCCCGCAGGACGAGTCCGACGCAGAGGTGGAGACGCAAGAACCCCCGAAGAAGAAGAGGCGCAGACAGGCATTGAGTTGTACCGGTACGAACGTCAACCTAATCGCTAGTCAATTGACCTCACGTCTGTTTTCCCTCTCGTCTCTTCTCACAATCTTCTGTCAAAATTCATGCGAACCTGTGAATGCCAATGACTTGTACAGAGTGTAAGAGACGCAAGATCAAATGTGACAGGTCGGAAGTCTCATTGTATTCGCTTCCGCACCCTCTGATAATACCTATCGCCATTGATGAACAGGGCGCAACCGTGTGGCCCTTGCGTGCGACGCGGGGAACCGAATAAATGCCAATGGCATGTAATTGAACCAATGTGAGCAGTGTTTGGCCCGCAGTCGACTATGACATGCCAATGATGATTTAGGGAGAAGTATGTGACGCGGTCTGAATACGATGAACTCAAGGCGAGAGTGGCGCAATTGGAATCTTTTATCCAAGGGTTGGTGCCTAGCGGAGTGCCCGGTACCGCATCTCGGCAGCGCATTTCATCGAATACCATACCGTCGGGCCCCACCCAACGTATCGAGCATATACAGGGAACGGCAATCACCCCTTATCATCAGGTTGCACCATCCGCAGGCCCTTCGACGTACCCTGGTGCGTTTCAGCATCTACCTCCTGCTAGTCGAGTGGAGCCCCAAGCATTGTCCGATCGCCAACCGAAACTGGTTCCTATACGCAGCCCGACGCTACCGAGCCGACCGCCCGCTTCCCATAGCCAATCGCACCACGCTATGCAGGTCAGGTCACCAAACGATCCTCATCCTTCAATGTCCCCCTCGTCTATTCATAGCATGCCACCAAGCTCTGAGTCTCGCTCCCCAGCGTCTGTTTCCTCGAGGAGAGCGTCGCTTTCACTTGCGGCGATTACATCGCCCTACACGCCTGAGCCTCGTCCCCAGAGCCCGCCAAAAAAATTCCAAGCGCAGACGCCAACAGCGCCGGGTCAGCGTCTGCGCACGGAACCAGCACCACCGGACTCGGCACGAACGCCACACCACCATCAGCGTCCTCCCCACGGCTCTCCCGTCGTCGGGCAGCGACAGGCCCAGCCGATACAAGCCTAGCTCGTCACTCGACGACAACGGTTAGTTCGGCAGATTTCTACGCGCAACGACCTCGTTAGCGCAGCGCAACGTCCATTCCCACTGCATCTACCGCTCCCCATCATTTTACCAATATTCACGCCCATACCTTACCTGGTTCAGAAGACGTCAGCCCAGAGTATACCCGTCCAAGTTCTTCCAGAGCTTGACATGCGCTACGAGTGTACTTCATTCATGTTGTCAGAGGACAGGGAAAGGTCCTAGTGCGAGGTGTCGGCGAGAAGGCGGAATCGAGCACCAATTATCAACACATCTGTAGTTGTGATGTAACATTTTATCGGTCATCTGTATACCTGGGCTCGAATAATGATGGATGATGCTGCGGATCGCTGACAGTGCCTCATTGCAGCAAATTCATACTTATCACTCTTGGCGAGTCGTACGACAACTGTCGATAATCACCGACAATGAAATGATATCATCGAGAAAAGAGAACATGTATTGCGAGCTAGCGTGGTATGAACGGACATACGGAGATACTGCATAGAAGGGAGGAAGCATGATGAGGTTGGAGACCCGCAGCCCACGCCAGGTCAGTGCGCTGCGCGCATGAAACACAGCCTGTGCGTGAACGGGCGAGCGCCCCGCGAACAAGCGGACTTGCGCTCCAGGGAGGCTAGCATGCCAACGTGCCAAGGGCGGCATGAGGCATGTCCTACCCGCGAGCTGATACATGAACGGACGGACAAGGTTCCAAAATGCAGGGTCGCGACGGGCATCCGCGCAGCACAGCGCACGCTCCGACAAATCGTCGAATGGAGCCGAACATGTGAGAGATGTTTTGCAATCGAACCTATCCCACGACGCTAGAACACGGTAACGCCAGACTGAGTTCCGGTGTACTGCGATTTCATGTCGTCCATATCAGTGGCGTCGTCTTGACTCTTGTAGTCGTACTGAGACAGACTGCCTATGTCCGATGTCCCCGCAGTGGAAGAGAATGATGAGCGGCGTCGAAGTCTATCAGACTGTGAATAAGCCATGCTGCTGATAGGACGGTCGGCAGGTCCAATCGCACTGCCCACGACGCTAGCTGTGTCGGTGCCTCCGGGACCAACGTCCTGGGAAATGATGGAGCTTGCATAGCTGCCATATGTGCTGCGTTTCGCGCCATTCGGTCGTTGCATCCCCGGTCCGAAGGGGCCATTCGCAGCGAATATGGGTAAACCTGAAGAGTACGTCGCCTGAGAACGCAGAGACTGAACATCCGAAGGTACGTATCCTATTGCATCATGCGTGCGATAAAAGGTAGGGTCAAAGCGGCTGGGAGTGCCGGATCGGCGACCTGCAGAAGAACCATCAGCACGGATACGTCAGTGTACGTACACGGGAATTAGACGCACCATCACCTGTCACACCGCTTCCCAAATAGTCCCGAGCATTGGTCTCGTGCCTACGGAACTGATCCATCGCCTTGACGAGAGTGCGCCTTGGCTTGCTAAATTGGATCATACTGGGCTGAAGATTGCTGAGGGGACCCTCAACAAGGCAATTCTTTTCCTTATAGTGGGTCAGGAGGTAGTGCCATAGCGGGTGCTTTAGTAGGCGTGAGTGCCTGGAAACAATAGCGTAAATCATCGGACAACCCACCTTGCTCAGAACCTTCGGATTCCCGAGGATGACTACTCCATACTTCGCGCGAGTCAATGCCACATTCAATCGCCTGGGATCGTTCAAGAAACCAATGCCTTGGTGCTCGTTGCTTCGGACACAGCTGAGGATGATGTAATCCTTCTCTCGCCCCTGGAAAGCATCAACACTGGCAACTTCAATCTCTTTATAGAGGTCTTTCTTCAGGGACCCATTGAATTGCATGTAGTTGACGATATAGGAGCGTTGACCTTCGTACGGCGTTACCACGCCAATCTGGCTCGGGACAACACCGGACTTGAAGAACTTGGTTACGATCTTTTCCACGTTGGAAGCTTCCGTTCTAACAAGCGGATAATTGAGTCTACATATATATATGTAAGTTAACCAGGCACGTACCTATTCAGGAATGATGTTCCGCTAGACGAGATCTCTTCCTGCCCCAGATTCTGATAGAAGAACATGGGCGTGTCAGGGACAGGCCATGGGAAATCAACATTTTTCCTCAATCGTTCAGGAGCGGTAACTCCGTTCTGCAGCGTCCCTTCGTAGAACATGTTCGACGGGAACTCAGACAGGCACGGGTGCATGCGGTATTGGACTTGCAATCTGATAGGACGATTGCCGAGGACAACCAGGCGTTCAAAAAGTGATTGAGTCAACCCGGCACGGGCGGCTTTCTTGTTCATGATAACAGGTCCAAGTTGCTGAAGCGAAGTCAGTGCCTATGATCTCGAGTCAAAAGCCGATCCAACTCACCTGGTGGTCACCAACCAAAACGACCTGTTTACAACCAAGTACCAACGGTATCAAGCACTCTGCATACAATGATCAGCTAACCGATTTCGTTGGTGGAGCACATGAATACATACCTGGTTCGGCGGCCTGCGTCGCTTCATCGATGAGAACGGTACGGAACTTAAATTTGCTCAAACGCGGGTCACCTGCACCGACGCAGGTGCAACAGATGACATCAGCAGCGCTGAGAATCTCCTTCTCGCACTGTCTGATGAGCGCCTTGTACTTCCTCTCGTCGTTCGAGCTTAGTTCTCCTTGCTCATTCTTGAGCAGTATTAACTTCTGCAGTTCGACGTTCGTTGTGTTGTTTGCAACTTGCTGATGCAAAGTCAGGAACGATACAGAGGAATCGAGCGCCTCCCGTGACTTTGCAGTAAGACGGACAACCTTGAGTCCCGTCGCATGAATCTTCTCAGTGAGCTGATCAACGGCCACGTTGGATGGGGCGCAGACTAAAACTTGCCCCGGGTTCATTTTGGCTAGATGATACACGATGGACGCCGAGGTGACCGTCTTGCCCGTGCCGGGAGGACCTTGAATCAAGCTTAGAGGCTTCTGCAAGACGCTCTTGACCGCATACATTTGAGAGTGGTTCAACTCCGGAAGCCCCGGCGCCGAGAACCGCTTAGGCATCTGGGTTCGCAGAACCTGCGGCTCGAGCTCGTGTCCTAGAAGCTTGTGATACTACACGCATAGTCAATAACACCGTGATAGCAAGCAATGTCTACTTCTACTCACGATGTAGCCGCTGACGCTCTTTTCGTCAACTGCAAATGTCTTCATGGCAAGCTGCATCCTGTCAAAGCTAGTTGACTTCCAGACAAAGTCGCCGGTGTAATTGTGGTTGATCTCTAAAGGCACACCCTCAGACCTCCTCAACTCGAGTCCGATCTCATCAGAGACATCTATGAATGAAGTTAGCGTCTCGATCTATGCGGCAGCAAAACCTGCGTACTGTTTGGGATTTTTATCACATGGCCATCCCCTTCCCAGGGCTTGTGCAATGTCCCAGTATACCTGAGCCTCAGCTCATCTCCTACGGCAAGGCGAACTTCGCCGCTCTCGAGCTTCGGCAAGCAGAACCAAGCCACTCGCTTCTGGTTAAGACCGAGATCCCACCGGACTGTGATATCGGTTTGGGTCTGCGACTCTTTCAGGCGTTTGTCGTAGTCTGCTTCTATTTTGACCAAAGGCCCGAAGATGTTCTGATGCTGATATGCATCCTCGTAGCGGAGTATGACTGGCTGCGGCTCGTCATCTACGCCCGGTTTCTCGAGATCTTCAAGCGTAGCGTTCGCATTCTCGCGCCACAGATCCTCGAGACGATTGATCTGCTGGAATGAGATCTGACGCGATCGAAGTTGTTCAGTCTCGCTGGGGGGCTTCACGAGCCATGATAAGAAAGAGCGGTCGTCAATGAGAGGTGCCCACAGAGAGGCATTCCAAGAGATGTCCTTCGATATAGCCGCACAAGGATGCCTGCGCCACAGTGTAAGTAAAGGCAGGTCATGCGAATGATGTTCTACACACCGGCAAAGAAGAACAACCACCGTGTCGCTCTTGGCGGGAATGAAACCGAGCATGAAGACGTTCTTGCTGCCACAGTTGTAGCACTCTGGCACGGTCTCTCCGAGTGGACTTTCACTGTGAAGAATGACTTCCTTGTGCTTGGCACGTACTAGGTGATTGACAATGTGCGAAGCAGAGGTGTTGCCACGAGAGTTGCAGAACCATTTGGAGCAAATGAGACACTTCACGACAGAAGCAGGAGAGTGAATGCCACAATAGCTTATAATAAACATCAGTAAAAACTCGGGTCTGCAGTCTATATTGACATACCTGCAAGCATGGGGAGGTAAGTCGACCTGGCCCTCATCCTTCAAATCGTCTAGAACTGCATCGAAATCATCGTCCATGCTGCTAGAGATTGACCCATGGCCATCGCCAGCTCTGCGTCCGGTAGGAGAGGAGACAAACGAACGGTCGTCGCTGAGGGAGAGGTTCTCTAGATCAACCGGGACGTGGCTTTGGCTGGTCGTATTTGCTGTATACACGGACGAGGTGTCGTCGACGACATCCATGCCACCATAGGAAGATGCAGAGTCATACTGAAAGTTTTCAAAGGAATCCATGGTGTAAAAGAGCTCAGAGAAGTGAGAGACGCGTATATGCGGTGGAGGTATCGAGTCAAGATGTAAATGCGGGACCGCGGTGGCCCTGCTTACTAGGTGCGGAGGCCATGCGCATCGCACATGGCTGTGTAGACCACGTGACCAGATCGACTCGCGATTGTGCTGGAATAGACGCCAAGTTGCTCGCAGTGTTCCAAACAGTGCGAGTTAGTTGCGCTAGCTAGCGGCAGCCTCTGAACATCATGGCTCATTTGTCGCGCAGTAATGGTCGACCAGAGCCTGAAGTCATAGTAAATGTGCGCCTCCGTCTGCCTGTTCTGTGAGATCGGCTGAGCAACTTGTGCAGTTTGCAGATGGGTGCGCGTACTCGAAAAGCAAGATGGAAGAAGCGTTCAAAAGCGGACTGCTCGACAAGCCCGGCACCAAGACAATCAAGGAGTCCCATAATGTGAGACGGGAAGATGTGGACCTGCTTGTGAGCATGCCTCCTACCAAGCACTGCTCCCACTCATGCCTTGTAACAGGTACATGAGTTGGAGGTACCTCGCGCACAGGCAGAGAAGATGCTGCTCGAGAAGGGCGATATCTCACGAGTGCTTGAAGAGTGGGTCACGGCATGACATATAGCTGTAGGCAACTGAAGGCACTATGACACTGTTGTCACAAGGTACAAACCGAATGATACCATTGTCTAGCCTCACGGAGCTCCCGTCTGTCCCGTCCCTCCCGTCGAGTTCTTGATCATATTGCTCAGCACGTCCATCAGACGATGACCACCATCCGCTGTCACTTTGTCATCGAATTTCGGTGTTGTTGTAGTAGGCTGCTTCGTGAGCATCGAGGCCGTAGTGATCTCATCTTCATCATTGGCGACGTACTCTCTCGTTCCGGGAATGTGAGTGTTTCGACGGTGATGCTCCGTGCCCACAGAATATACCTCGGTGCGTATAATCGCGAGAGAATCCTTCCCACCCGAATGCTGTGCGACCGTCGACGGAGCCGAAACGAGTTCTGCGCTTCGGAAGCGAAGGTCCGCGACAACGCCGTCATTGGGATTCCTCGATATGCCTTCTCCAGCCTTCTCCAATGCGTTCCAATCCATAGGGTGGACCCCGCTGCCGCGATCACCCTTCCGCATAGTCGCCAAAACACCAGCAAAGCTAGCGACGTAACCCTCTTTTCCTCCACGTTGAGTAGTTATATTAGACTGCAGAAGACGGCCTTGACTGGGCTTGGTGAATAAATGATTTTGCAGGGGAGGAGAATGACTGTAGTTGAGTCCACCAAAGCGCTGCGGCTGCTGTTCGATGAGGTGGGTGTTCGGCTCTTTGAATCTCTGGTACGCGTAGTACTGGAGGAAGTCCTTGAACTGCTCCTGGTTTGGCCGATGAGATTCCCTCCACAGCGTGACAGGCTCGTCAGAATCCTTTCTCCCCTCCTGCTTGGATTTTTCCGTTTGCTGCTGCAGGTATTTGCGGAATTCCGGTCGCAATTGCCGCAATTTATGCAGATAGCATTCAAACTCACTATCGGACATAGCGTGAACGTTGGGCACAGCCGTACTCCTCTCTCTGAGGCCTTTCTCCTCCGCTCGATTATTCGATGACGCGTTCTTGGTGCCCTGGCTGAATTCGGAGTCGATGTCCCACTGAATGTCGCGGTAGGGACCCAGCTTTTCCGCCCAGCTCCCAAACTCCACACGCGGTGTCACACCCACTTCCTCCCACATCCGTATCCATCGGCTCTGTTGTTCTGCGCTCCTCCACTCTGTCTGCTCCTCCCTGGAATCGATAGCCTTAACCGTAACGGTCGCTTTCCGGCGGCGAATGGGTAAGGGTCGCTTAAATCCCCAGTTTCCGCGGTGGCAATGACCACCAAAAGAGACATAGGACTGCGCGATCTTTGGATCAAACGACGCGAATTTAGATTGGCGAAGTAGAGCCGCAAACTGAGAGGGCGGGGGCGGAGTCGCCATAATCGGTGGGTGAAGAGGTTCTTGCCATATTGGTCCGACAAGAGACATTCGAGCGGCGCCTCGGCGATCGCCGAGAGGCGTATAGCGCTTCAACGAGCAGTTTTTGCTCTTTCAAACACTCGACGTCCAAATTGCTGCCTTTCCTCCGCTCGCCTTTGTAGGCCTGGCTATCCATGGATTAGGCGGCCCAGACAAACGTCGTAGAGAAATCTCTCGCGAAGATGTCTCAAAAACAATCTTTGCTGATCGCTTCTCCCTCTGGTCGAGAGGTCAGGACGCAGGATCACCTGGAGATCATCTACATTTCTTAGCTCTCTGCGTGTAATGCGCTTCTGTATGACGTTCATTTTATTCGACTTAATGTGAGTACCTCAACTCTCTGCGACTGACATGTGGTGCCCAACCGATGAAGAAAACCCTGGTAACATAACTCATCCCAGTGCGGTGAGCGATTATTGGGCGAGCTGCTGTGAGGCGCGCGCTCGGCTCACGGTACGACCCTGTCTTGGGTGTCTGTTGGTAGACGTCGGGTGAGCGTGAAGAATGTAAGGCGAGGCTGAGGTTTCTGGGGCACCGACATGATGGTCGCGATCGTTTCTTTGTTTCCGAGCGCCTTCCGGATTATGGCTGACTCTACCTTTCGCATCCAGGTTGCGGCTGCACGGCTGAGCGGTATCGATGGAGGGCTGTCTTGTGTTCTTTGTGCTGCGTAGAATTAGTTACGTGTAGTTGAGGAGGTTGTGCGGAATAGAATGCTGGTGCGCGAGCAGTAAGCGATGAGAGCGTCCGAGTGTCTAGGCCGGTGATTGAAGCTGGTAGTCCGCTGCGGGCGCCTCTGCGGTTAACGACTGGCGAAAAATGAGGAACGAGGGGCGGCCGCTTCCCAATCACCCCCACGTCGGTCCTGATCATCTCAGCCCACGTCTTCGCTGTCCACCATCGCGTCCACCACGGCCAGCAAGGCTGACGGCCTCCAGCCTCTCCTTGCATATTAACACGTTCCGTCCCGTGCAGCCGCCGGTTCTATCCAAAACAGGCCCAAGGATCGCCACCACTCGCGCTGGCTTGATATTCGCCTCTGGTTAGACACATGGACCACTCTCTACCTCGCAGGGCTTCTGCACTGGGCGTATCATCCCCTACGCGTCTGGAGATGTACCACAGACCATACCCTACTGCTCGGACTAATTCCCCTTCGCCTCTCGATGGCAGCTTTGCTCAGGTGCCACCATGGTCGAGTCCACGGCTGACCCCCGCATCCACCCCGCCGCCGATGTCCCCCGTGCACTTTCCCCCATCCCCACTCGACGTGCCGCCGAGCCCGAGCATATCGGAGAGTGCACCGACAATATGTGGTATGCCGCTGAAATACGTCTCGTGAGTGGTCTGCCGTCAGAGAGGCTTGGCGTTGTCTCTGAATTTTTGACACATAGCTTGGTCACACTCGCAGTGCAGAATGCTGCTCTGTCCATTGTGATGCACTACTCACGGGTATCGATACCGGCATCAGAGGCGTACTCTCCTGCATCCGCAGTGCTCCTGAACGAGCTGCTCAAGGGATCCATCTCATTCGTCATAGCCTTCCTTAGGGTTGTCGACGCATCTGACGCGTCGGGTAAGGGTATCTCGGTCTGGTGGTGGGCGCTGCAGAGAGTATGTCGCGAGATTTTCAGCCGCGATTGCTGGAAATTGTCAATACCGGCCATCCTTTACGTGGTGCAGAATTCACTGCAGTTTGTCGCCATCAGCAATTTACCGGTCGCTACATTCCAGGTCACTTACCAGATGAAGATCCTCACCACGGCTGCGTTCTCCGTCATGCTCCTTCGCAAGAAGCTGGGCTCGACAAAATGGCTCTCGCTCTTCTTCCTCGCCATTGGGGTCGGTATTGTGCAGATTCAGACCAGCACTACATCTGCACCACAGAACACACCTGTTGGTAGTGCTCACGAGTCGGCACCGCTCCACGTCCACATCATGAGCCCGCTCAAGGGCTTCGGTGCGGTGGCAGCAGCATGTTTCACCTCTGGCCTCGCTGGCGTCTACTTCGAGATGGTGCTCAAGAACTCGAAGGCGGACCTGTGGGTGCGGAACGTACAGCTATCATTATTTTCCCTCGTCCCCGCCGTGCTCCCGATCTTCTGGGAGAAGTCGCCCATGTATGTGCGGGACGGGATTATTTATGGTTTCTTCCGGAACTTTGGTGGATGGGCTTGGGCGACGGTCGCAGTACAGGTGCTGGGCGGGCTGATCACCGCGATTGTCATCAAGTACTCGGACAATATTCTTAAGGGCTTCGCAACCAGTCTATCCATCGTCCTCTCCTTCCTCGCGTCTGTGGCACTATTTGGCTTCCGCATCACACCTTCTTTTTTAATTGGATCGACAACCGTGCTGGTGGCAACGTGGATGTACAACCAGCCTCCAGGCCAGGAGCTCGTGGCTATTACCAACGTCATCCCGGTCATACCTGCAAAGTCAGAAAAATCGTTCAGCGCGGCTGTCAGTCCGAACGCACCCATCATTGGCCAGTTCTCTTCTCAGAAGAAGTCTCCCTCACCATTCGGCAGTCCACGCATGATCGCGAGCGCGATGGGCTTCGGGGACGACAAGAACGACAGCGAGAGCCTATTCGGTGCGACACTGGACACTACGCGGTATCTGAGCGCACCTTACGGCTCGCCATATCCTTCGCGGACGCCTTCGCCGATTCCGACGCCACCCTCTCCTCATCATGGGTCACAGGGCAACCCCGCTACTCCGCATTGGCATTAATGTTGTTGCTATCATACGAACCAGCCTATCTAACGAGACCGACATGATACCCGCCGCAAAGACTTTTGCAGCCGTAGACAACACCCTTCATTACGAAATCTACTGCAAGTTATCCAGTGCATAGCGCATATTTGATTCATGTTATTCATATTTCAGCTACGGGTAGTAGATTAGGTGTTCACCTTGTAATTCCTCGCATTCTGCCAGCTTTGCGAGCTTTTGATCCGCTTCATGTTTGTCAAAGTAGGATCATCAGATCTGGCATATATACCAAACCGCTGATGTGCTTGTTAAGCGCCCAATAACGATCTGCTTCAGCGCACACCATGTCGATTGAGTTGGAATGGGACAAGCTCGACAAGCCGCTGGCTTCGTCTCTAGTGAATGCGCTGAACAGGCAGCTAGCGACCACTGCTAGGCCCTCCTTCATTGGGCCTATCGAGATTACGTCCCTCGAATTTGGCACAGTGAGCCCTGATATTGAGCTCGTGGACCTTCGAGACATCCATCGCGATTTCCTGGAGGACGACGAAGAATTGGACGACCAAGACAGCGAGCCTGTGAAGGAGTCGCAGTGGACGGACGATGACGATGACTACGAGTGGGTGTCCCGGAAGGCAGTGCGGGGAAAGGGTCTCGCCGAAGACGTTCCCCCGTACCACATGCTCCCCCCTCACATGCGCTACGGACGGGGTCCAGGAATGGACATGTTCGCGTCTACGCCGTCCTTGCGCTCCCCGAGGGATATGTGGAACCCTACCATGAGCAGCCTAGTTGACCTCAAGCCGACATACCCATACGCATCTCCCAGTCTCTATGCATCTGCTCTGTCCTCACTGTCTGTCCCTTTGCAGTCGAATCCTACGAAGCACAAGCCCCCAGCGTCAGACTCGGGCGCGTCTGCATCGAGAGATGCGGAACGTTCCCCTACGCCACCCTCAGAGGAAGGGAAGGGGCCAAGTCCGCCAAATCACCCCAATCTACAATTGCATCTGCGCATTACTTGGAACTCCAATCTCCGCCTGACCTTGACCACCTCATTGCTCATAAACTATCCTTCGCCGATGTTCATGTCTCTTCCGATTAAGCTCTCTGTCATCGGTTTGCTGTTCAACGGTGAAGTGGTCGTGGCCTACGAAGGCGAGCGCCGCCGCGTCCACCTCTGCATTTTAGACGAGCTCGATCCTTACAGCCCTCTTGCCGGAGCTCGGCCTAAACGTGATACCCCACCTTCCGCAGGGACACCCTCCGAGACAGACGAAGATACCCCAACCACACCCGGCCACACGAGAACAGGCAAACCGCTTCCAATCGGACAGCGTCTTCTCCCGTCCATTTACATCGAGAGCGAGATCGGACAAGCCGATAAACACGTCCTGAAGAATGTCACTCGTGTCGAACGCTTCATCCAGGACGTCATCCGGAAGACTATCGAGGAAGAACTTGTCTTCCCAAACTTCCACACGTTGGTGCTTGGAGATCCAGGATCTTAGATAGACACGAGCGTGGGAGACGATGTACCAATACAGCGTGGAGGTGAAGCCAGTCTTACATGTGGATGTCACAGCAGAGATTTACTCATGTATGGTCCGTCCAACTCATACCCCAGCCGACGATAATAGTCTCGTGTGCCAACTCCTGCGAAGATCATCCGTCAGTAGGTGAAAAGCAACAGTGACGAGAAACCAACCAGAGATGACAGCAAGCTTGATGCTGCCATGCTCCTCGCGAGCTATCCGTTCCGCCTCTTCCATCAGCAACGTGCCAAAGCCCTGAATTGCACGATGTGATCAGCGCGCATGAAGATCAGCTTCCAAGTTACAGTGGCATACCTGGTGTTGGAACTTCGTCGGATCTCGTCCGTGCACTGGCACAGCCGTGCCATAAACGTGCAGCTCACGGACGATGCTGCAACCGCCCTCCGCACCTTCCTTCTCCACCAGCTCTGGCCGGAAAGTGCCCTCGTCAGAACACTTTCGCAATCGCAGTAGTCCGATCAGAATATCGCGCTCAGGGTCCTCATATGATAGGAATGTCTCCCATCCGCCATTCGCCGTGTAGTCCCGTCGAAGAAGCTCGACAGACTCCGGACGAACCTTATGATGGATCTCGTGGATCTGCGAAGAAGGTCATTGTAAACGTGAGGATTTTAGGTTTGCTCAATAGATAGCGGCGTACTCCAACTTCACGGAATCTCACGTCACGACACTCCGCACCAAAGTCCTTCATCCGGTTCAGCGCCAGTTCGCGAAGGTTGCCGGAATTCTCGCAACCACTTGTGACCAATGGCAGGGGAATGTCTCTGAATGATGGTCAGGATGGGCAGTTTATGGAAACTGACAGCGTCTGATGTCTTACCTCTGCACTCGGTATACCCTGGTCCATGGAGGGACAAGTGCGAGAATTCTCGCCACAACGTCCACAAGCACATTTGGCGTGTAATTCTTATACCGACCTGTCCTCCACAACTCATATAACCCGGTGCCTCGGATTACGAGGGTAGGGTAAATCTTTAGTCCGTCGCTTCTGAACGCAGGGTTCTCGAAGTACTCCTTGAATTGCTCAAGGTCACGCTCTACGCCCACGTTCGGGAGGTCAGGCATCATGTGTGCCACGACCTTGAATCCTGCATCCTTCGCCAGGTGGAACGACTCCGAGACGGCACGAACGGTGTGTCCCCGATTTGTATCTCGGGCAACGTCTTCGTATACTGACTGGACGCCGATTTCTAAGCGAGTGCAGCCATAGCGGAGCATCTGACTACGGGATCGATGAACACGGGATGGACATGATAGGATTGCCTGCCCACCTCAGATGTGGTCTTAGACAGTAGTCTGGCCTCGTTTCGATGGTGATGCCAATTGCCTTCGACTTACTCTGTTCGGAAAAGCTGCAATGCGAAATGTCAATCGGATACGCCTAACTCAAAGTCTGGACAGCGTACCGCACCGCCTCGTCCACATCGAATCCCGTATATCCAGATAGCGCATTGTGCAACTGCGCAATGAACTTGTTCCGATAGTCCTCCGGCATACTCATAAATGTCCCACCCATGATGATGAATTCCACCTGCGTCGAATTCCCGTTTGGTTTACAATGCATTTTCTGCTTACATTGACGGCGTACCTTGTCAACATTGTGACCAAGACTTTTCAACTGTTCTACTCGCCCTCTTGTCTGCTCGTACGGGTCATAGCGTGCACGAATAGCTCGCATGCTCGTCGGCTCGTAACCCGTGTAGCTCTGTGTGCTATAGTCGAAGTCTGAATCAGGACCTCCTGGGCAATATCTGCAGTTGATGAGCATGACTTATCTCGGGTAGAGATGGGCAGGGATACACATACACACAGATATTGCCAGTCATTGCGATATGTGGACATCGATGTGGTTTGCACATAACAGCTACTACGGCAATCTGTTCTTGATCAGTGAATCTGACAGAAATATGTGCATTCATACTTACCCCGCTAGCTGTACGTATAGGCCGAGCTTTCAGTTTAGGCAACAGGGCCTTTTTGTATTCGTCCGGGATGGCACTGATGATATCCACCAACCTCGGCACTCCACCGAACCCGTACCTTTTGCTCATCTTTGTTCGAAGCTCATTCAGTGAAACGGTCTGATTTGCATCGTGGGCCTTGATGAGTTCTGCAGCAATAGCAGAGGTGACCCGTAGCAACTGCTCGGCCTGGGAGGGGCCTGCCATAAATTAGTTACTGTACCCGTAGTGGAGCATATGTCGGCGTACCATCCGTCCTAGTTCTTTGAACCATTACCGGGCACTGAATATTTATACTGCAATCTGACCAAGATCGGTCAAACAACGACCCTGAGTGATATCGGCCACGCGAAGAGAGCGATGAGCAGAGGAATCGAGAGAGGTGTCGGAGGCGTCTGAGCTGCCGCACGTTGTGGCTGAATTGTTCGCATCTCGATCTCATCTCTGTCCATGACTGTCATTAATGCCGCCTCCCACTTCCGTTGACTCATGGCTCACAGCTCGTCGGTTTGGCATAGTCATTGACGCGGGCTCGTCAGGCTCAAGGCTCCAGATCTACAGCTGGAAGGACCCCCGGGTTGCCAGTTCAGAAAATGCACCCAGGTCACTGCCGAGGGTGGAAAAGGGAACGAGAGAGGGGGAAGAGTGGTCTAAGAAGGTCGAACCTGGTAAGCACCATAATTCTGTATGCCGTAAATTTGTTATATGCGGACTAATCCATATAGGCATATCATCCTTCGGGGAGAATCCGCACGATATTCGAACATATCTCGCCCCGCTGCTAGACCACGCTCGCAGTCACATTCCTCCTTCCCTGGAGTCCGACACACCTCTGTTCCTTCTTGCTACCGCGGGTATGCGCTTGCTCTCTCCAGCACAGCAAAGCGCGGTTCTCGAGGCAACATGCCGGTACTTCAGGGATCATTCAAATTTCCGACTGGACGACCCTTCGTCTGCTGGGCCTTGCGGGTCAAGCGTGCGCATAATCTCGGGTGAGGAAGAAGGCCTGTTTGGCTGGATTGCGGTCAACTATCTCATGGACGGATTCGCCGGTTCTGGAGAGGACCGTCTCACCTACGGCTTCCTAGACATGGGTGGTGCCTCCACTCAAATAGCTTTCGAGCCTGGCATGGAAGAGCGGCGGAAGGCACAAAATCTCGTGGGCGTCAGGCTGCGTCTGCTTGACGGCCATGAGGTACACCATGAAGTGTTTGTAACGACGTGGTTGGGCTACGGTACAAATCAAGCGCGCGAACGATACGTAGGCTCAGCCATCAACGACTACGAATCCCATCGTGCACCTTCTTCCCCTTCCTCCGAGGAGCTTGTCCCAGACCCATGTCTCCCGAAGGACCTTAGACTTGTTGAAGCACCTGTACAACCCGACTCCGCCAGTCACCACGCAAAGTCACCTCATACGCTTTTAGGCACAGGCTCTTTTGAGCAATGCTTGCAGAAGACCTTGCCATTGCTGAACAAAGATGCTCCATGTCCTGACGCGCATTGTCTGTTCAACGGCGTATATGTGCCTCCTATAGACTTTTCCGCCTCACATTTCATTGGCGTTTCTGAGTACTGGTACTCATCTGAACACGTGTTTGGCCTGGGTGGGTCATATGATGTCGTTCAATACGAGCGTGCTGCCTCGGAGTTCTGCTCGAGAGAGTGGTCAAATATCCTCAGGCAGCACGAACTGTCTCGCCAGCAAGGGCGTCTCGGCGGAGACGAGATTACAGTCGGCGGTGAAGAGGCAGGTAACGTGTGGGACGATAATGTGGGGATATCACGGCTGCAAATGCAATGTTTCAAGGCGGCTTGGGTTGTCAACGTTCTGCACGAAGGTATTGGGATGCCTCGCATTGTTGACCCTGGCGGCAACAGCACTGTAGACGGTGACAAGGTCGCGCAACAAGCAGAGAACAAGGGTCTTGGTCGGCCCATGTTCCAGTCCATGGACAGCGTTGGTGACATTGCGATCAGCTGGACGCTAGGCAAGATGGTGCTGGAAGCAAGCAAAGACGTCCCGCCTCTATCTTCCACAGACCGGCCACTTTCAGATCCGCTGGACAGAGTGCCAGACAATTCTGCCCCTCCAGGAGGCCCTGCACGACCACCATTGCTCGATTTTGAAGCCATAGAGGATCGCATAGCAGACCATCTGCCTTCATCCTTCACCCGACAGTCGCTGGGCTTCTCTCCTGTTGCATTCCTATTCTACGGTGTCATCGCCCTCATTTTGTCAGCGGCGACGTACCGCCTAAGATATCGCATCAGGAGTACATTGCGACGATCATACAAAAAGGAGCGCGCATTCACGAAGGAGAGCTATTCAATGGAGGAGGGTCAGGCACTGAACGGCGGCGCCCACTCACCATCTCCTTGGCGCAGCACACCCTCACGCCTATCGCTATCGATCTTCCACCCGTTCAAAAAGCTCTTGTCATTTACGGTCCGAACACCGTCCATTACTGTCAAAACCTATGATTCGTCAACTCGGAATAGTCCCCATTCTCCTGTCCGTGTACAACCCCTCCATTCTTTCACATTCCCTGGTCCGAAGCCGCAGTACACGCCCCAACTATCCCCGTTGGATCCTGTTAATGGCGCGGGAACAGCGTTTGTCGTGCCTGGATCTCCTCGCCTGTCCGACGGGAACATGGTGTCTAACGGCAGCCTCTCTTCATTGACCTCGCGTTCCCGCAACTCATCGCAGATGAACCTTGCAAGCACTCTGACCCCTAGACAGATGACCTCACGAACAATTAGCGGTCCACATACCCCCATCGGTAGTTTATTCCTGGACGAATGACATTTCTGTAATTTACGTACTGTTCACGGATCATCTTGCGCAAGGTTCGATCTATATGCTACGCTTATGCACATGTTGTAACGGTAGCACGCTATATCAGTTCACATACGGCGAGCTTCCGGTTCGTCTTAATTACTCATTGATTCTCGAAGCGGAACGGAGGACATCGTTCAACGCCTGTGTAGCCGGAGATGGCAGCATTCTTTTGCCGTCCTCAAACATCGTGGCGAGTGTTGACCGGAAAATTGCGTCGGCTTGCATTGATGGCCGCAGATTGGCATGTGTGATAACTTGGAAGTACGAAGGCAGTAAGAATTCAGTAAAGAGTGCATGGTCTTTATAAAGCAGACTAAGAAGTAGCTTGAAAGGGGGTAGCATGAGAAAGTTCATGTCAGCGTGCCTCAGACAGTTTAATGACATTCGGGGCTTCACCGCATAAACAACTTTGTCGGGACCCGTATAGAGGGGATTCTTCAATGTTGTTTGCTCAGAGTGCTGTACCGTCATTTTATGTGATCAGGGTAGACACGATCGGGAAGCCCATGGAAATTGTTGCACATTTTCTAGTTAGCGGCGTCAAACGCGATAGAACAATCTTCATGTTCACCGTTGAATGTGTCATCAAGCTCGTCAGGTACATTTTCTCACTGACCGCCGGCCGCTGGCCGCTATTCGCTATTTCTAGGAAGCAATTCGTATGTCAGCGCTGGAGAGGGAGGCTCCCGCTCAGAACACGCACCTTAGGAATACGTGGAACGCAGAAGCACCGGCTACAGATCCAAACCACACAGAATTATCATTCAGTTACCGTTCAACATCATGGCAATGTCAATAAACAACTCCTCCAGTGATGTATTCCGTGGGTATAGCAAAACACTACGATAGCAATCCACACAAATACAACGGCAGATATCTTACCACGCCAAGAAGTTCATCCCAAACGCTGGCTCATCTTCTTCGTGGCCGCGACCGCGTGCCTGCCATCACTGACGACCCGGGCGCAGGCGGCCGGTCGTCAGACTGCAGCAGGCGTCCTTCCGCTACGCGTTTCAATCTAATGATATCGTGCACCCAGTATGTCTCGTTGACTTTGGCGACGGCGATATCATGGAGGCGCTGCTCTTCGCTAGCGGGAAGCAGTTCGTACGAGGTGCGCTGCCCTGCCTTCCAGAGCACAAGCTGTAGGACAGCCTCAGGCAACAGGACACTTCCGCAGTACTGCACATCGATACCATCAGCAGTTCACTCCTATAATAAATTTGGTTAGAAGAGAAAAAAAATACCGTTATCCGATCGACCTCGTTCAGGTCCGCAAAATGAGGCCGTGCATTATCAGATTGAACCTCGAGCTCATGCGCCGACGTCACGCTCGGATCCATTAGCTTGGCTTCTGCTAGCGCGTCCTATAACCAAAGGGTCAGATAAACACGAGCACTAACGGCCGAGCGGACCTGATGCACTTGCGAAGCCGCTTGTTCCTTCGGCTTGGGCTCTGACGGGAAGGTTTCAGCCTATCAATTCAGTCATCAAACACTGAGCTTTTGCGACGCCACCAACACCGCTGACCTTGTCACAGGCATCGCCGATGGGAGATGCGACCCTAACGGCCTGGTCCTAGGAAGATGACACATTGACTCGTACAACCACCTGACCCAGAGGCTGACACACCTCCATCACAACATCAGCGGCATTATACGACGAAGGGGGCGCTTCTGCCTCCGAGTGCGGCAGGTCTGACTGAAACATCACATGAATCAACGAGCGGCACTGGTCAACAAGACGACCACGAACATCTGAGATAGACATCGATGATTGTTGCGAAGCAGCAGCCTCTTGCGCCTGGGTACTCTCATCGGCAGGTGACGGCTTTTACAGCACAGGATAAATGCATTAGCAACAGTGATGGGCAGTATCAGAAAATGTGGACAGGCACATACCTGTCCCTCGCCATTGGTATGTACGTTAACGGACGGCACCGCTAGCCTGCTTGAACCGTCCAAAGGGAAGCCCAACTCACGTCTCCTTTCCCGCCTTCGGGTCCACCGCGTGATAAGCCCCAGCAACTCCTCCTCCTGCGCAGGCGGCAACGACCCTCTGGCATAGCCGCTATTGCAGACCTTCCGCCTGGCATTGCCTCCTTGCATGAAGCCGTCATGCCGCTCCTTCGCGGGTCCGTACTCTCCCTCGATCACACATGCAAGAACCGGGTTGACATATTTAAACTGCTCAGCAACCGACAGATTGTAAAAGTCTTCGGAGGCAGGAGGAGGAAGCATCGGCGGGGGACTGGGCGTGCGGAGGGTGTCATCGTCCACCGGCTCTGAAATGAAGCGATTGGCCATCTCTGAGGTGGTCAACTCATCGGCGTCCTCGAACATGCGGTAGTTGTACTGATCGCGGCCCAGCTGATGAAGCCCAATGTGTCAGTGACACAGAAGTGCATTCGGACCTGCAGACTTGGGACGTACCTTGCAAGTCTTGAAGCCCTTCTCGAAAGCAGTGAAAAACATATTCTTCTCGATGGTCTTCACGATCCCATCGTAGTACTGAACCTTGAACTTCGGCTTCTGCTTCGGGTTCGTGGGCTTGATGTATTCAAGGATTTGCGCAGGCCAGTAATCTGAATACCCTCGCTTCTCTTTTGCGAGCACAAGTTCGCCAGGGACATCGTACGTTGGATCGCACGAGGGCGCCCTCCATGCCTTCCGTGGACTGACAGGCTCTTCGGACAAGGGACTCGATGCTCTTAGCTCGACAACCGATGCCTTCTTCGCAGGCGAACGTCTGACCGGCGATGGCGGCGAGGAATTTCTCTCAACATAGCCAGAGAGGAGCATGGGCAGACCGTCATTGGCTTCTGCTTCTGCATCCACCATCTGGTCTCGTGCGGCTTTCCACCGCGTTTCGATGTCTGACTTCCGCTTTTTCCGCGGAGACTGAAGGGTATTGCTGGGTCGTTTGCTGAATCGATAGGTGTGCTCATTGAAGCGGGGCAGCCCGCTCAGAGCCACGGGTTGAACGTTGGCAGGTGAGGGTGAGCTAATGTCGACAACTCTGGAGCGGCGGGGGCTTTCCCCGTAGAGTGACACTTGCAGCGAACCATCTGAATGAACAATCTGCATTGATGCACGATTAGTTTCGACTGTTTCTCCGGTTAACCTGGGGACAGACACCTTTGCAGGCCACCAATACTCCTCATCGCTGCTCTCCGTCCCTTCGTTAACAACTTCCCCTCGGTTGTCCAGCCTTAACCAAACAAATGTGCCCAGCTTGGCTAGACTCCATGCATCGTCCGCTCTGACATCTTCCGATACAGCAGTGGTAGGCGCCGCGGTCGCGCGTTGGATGCGTTCTGATGGCGATGGCGATGACAGCTGTGATATGAGGCTAGCAGGGATAGCCTTTGGGAGATGAGATTGAGTCTCCTCATCCGCCGTGAGATCAATGGTAGGAGTTCCGCCAGTAGATTTGATAGAAGGGCTGAGCGAGGGTAAAGGAGTCAATGCGCTCTCATTATCTGAGTCTGATGCAGTAGCTTTAGTGGGTGTCACAGGTCGTGGTCGCTTTTTACTAGATGTGGTCTTCGGTGTAGATAATTTCGTACGGGAGGGTGTAAGAGGGGTTAGGGGGGAGTTCTTCGAGGACTCCTTCCAGGATCCCTTCCGTGGTGTAGATGGCTTCTCGCGGCGCCCGCTTGGGCGAGTGGGCAGAGGAAGCTCCAAGTCAAAGTCGGAATCAGATTCAGTCAGCGGTGACAGACTGTCTATGGTCCGAGCGGGGCTGATCTGGGCAGTCCTCAAGCGCAACTTCTTCTCAGACGGAAGCGCGCGGGCATGTGCACCAGGAGACTTCCGAGAGCCAGCGGGGGCAGAGGGGCTCTGTGGGAGTGCACCGTTACTTTTCCTCGAAGAGTTTCGAAACTTGGCCTTTCCTCCATAAGTGATCTTCACCGGACTCCTGGCCTTGGACGGCTCACCGAACATCAACGAGGAGTCCTCTCGGTCGGAGGGTACTGGAGAGCTCTCCAATTGGCGTGCAGAGAGCCTTACAGCTTTCTTTGCTGCTGCTCGCCGTGGCATTGTGCTGTGAACGAGCTTGAGATAATTGGTTGGTGTCGCGGGACCTCGTTCATCCAGAGACGATGCGTGGGAGCCGAGGGTGGCGGGACGGACTCTTCGCGAGCACGCCGTAAAAGCAAACGAGTGTCCACCGATGCAGCAACAGTCGAGCTCAGCTTCCAGACCACGGGAGACAACTCCGTCGCCTGCAAAGACCAAGCAGCAGCTACAGCACACGACGATCAGATGAGACGCAGAGACGCGCGGGTGACACGCGCGCTACCCGAAGACGACGCGTGTCGTCACGCTAATGTCACGTCACAATCGCGCGGTAATAATTCAAGTGTTCGTTTCAAACACTCGGTGTGCTCACCGAAGAGCATTTTGCTTTTGTATGTCACGAACGGCTGTAAACACTGCATACTCAACACGCACTACTACATTCATTATTGAGGTATCATGTTTTCCGCGTACAACCCTGAACACCACTAAAAGTTAACCCCAAGCCGCTGAGTACATAGTGACATGTTGAGGTATGGATCATGGTCGATGAAGCGGAAGAGCGAGCCTGAACCCAAATTTCAAGCAGAAAGGAGGAAGATCGCAGCAGATCCTGCAGCCACCAAAGAGAGCATCGAGAACGATCTCAACTTCGCCGCTCCGTTCGCCTTCTGAGCAGACGCGCCTTGAGTAGTTTGCGGAGCCGCAGTGCCGGTCGAAGCCACCGACGAACGGGTCATGGACGGGGTGGAGGTGGACGACCCGGACGCGTACGATGCGTCGGCTGAGTCGGC